CTCACTACAACCCCTGTTCTTCTCTTCTACCTGAGGCCACAGCTACACTCCACTTCTCAGGCTCCTTTACAAATGCTGAGACCATGCACGTGTTAGGGTTCTTGCCATGAGAAGTGACAGGACCCATTTTCAGGTCGGGCCCATTAACCACATGCATTCCTTCATGCCCATTTCCTCTCCCAGTGGTGGAATGGGGACAGAGGCCTAGGTTGACCAAGGACATCACACAAAGAAGAGGGTAGAGCTACATCAGCCAGAATGACTACATGGAGGAGGGGTTATTTCTCTAACAAGTTCACCTGCTCATACTGTTCTATGACCTAGAAATAGACTTCTATTTGTGTTGGAACCATTATATATATTTTTGCATCTACTTGTTATAGCAGTTGGCCTGCCTTACCTAATGCACTTAGGTAAACCTTATTCAAATGCCCATTTTGGAATTGGGAAGACATTTGTATTTTAGCTCCAATTACAGTTCAGAGTAATTAATATTTATTTAACATTAATCATCTTAAGGGGTTGATTATTTATGAACTCTTAATCCTAATGGTAAAGACATATGATAGTGACTAGTAGTCCCATTTTACAGTTGGGGGCACTGAAAGGATAAATAACTTGCCCAAGATCACATAGCCAGGGATGATAGAAGCTGAGAAGCAAATCCAGATAGCACGGGTCAAAGAGATGACAATTGTCATCACTGTCATGGAGTCACCATGACATCCATAAAATCAAATATTCTACCAGTCAAATCAGTTTATTGTAAATCATTCCCACATCCTAAGGGGTAACTGTTGTCATCCTCCCCAGGGGTTTCTAGATACCCTGATCTGGCATCTCCAGCTTAGAACTCAGAACTTATAATCAGCTGCCTGACCTGCCTATGTCCCCCAGACGTGTCTGCCTGGATTTCAGCATACCGAAATGGTATGGTATGGCTCCTCTTGGTCTGGCCTAATCTATGTCTTGCCTAAATCTGAACTCCCATTCTGACTTTGCCCATTCATTCATATTTTTATCAGGCATCTACAGTGCTAGGCACTGTGCTAGGCACAGAGCATACAGGATAAGCAGGAAGGCATGCTCCTGGTCCTCTGGGTGAGAAGGATCAGAGCACTGGGCCCTCCGATTCTGTTCTTCCCACAGCTCGGCATACGGCCTTCCCGCCCAATAAACCCTAACCTCCCACTCTTCAGAACATTCAGAACTTTCTTTGATTCCAGATTTGACCTCTACTTTCTTAGTGTTGTGCGATGGTCTCAGAAAGATATGATGGTACCAAAAATCCACAATTGTCCCTGCCAGTTTAAAAGCAATCTCAGAAGTGTTGAGGGGGTAACCCATGGGAAGAAAAGGTATTGGCCACTGGGCATAGTTTTTTGTGTTTGTTTTTTGTTTTTGTTTTTTAAGATTTAATTTATTTATTTGACAGAGAGACAGTGAGAGAGGGAACACAAGCAGGGGGAGTTGGAGTGGGAGAGGGAAAAGTAAGCTTCCTGCCCTTCAGGGATCCTGATTCAGGGCTTGATCCCAGGACCCTGAGATCATGACCTGAGCCGAAGGCAGTTGCTTACAACTGAACCACCCAGGTACCCCTGGGCATAGTCTTAAGAAGAGAGGACAAAGGACTTGGCACTCTAGTGCAGAAATGTTTGTTTTCGCTTTCTACATATGTCACAGGAAATTAGACAGTTCACCTTTGTAAATCGTTTGCATATCACTCATACATGAGCCAGATGGCACCTCTTTAAGAAATTAAAAATAAAAAAGAAAGCATATGAGGAGGAACTTAGCTCCTTCTCTCTTCCTGCTTTTGTATACACACCTTGGATTCTGCACTGGGCAGATGAACACTCATGAGTGCATGTGTACACACACATACACACACACACACACACACACAGGGCCCTGGATTATCTGCATTTAACTGAATCAGGCACCAGGAACTCCCCACAAACTCCTAGGCTCAATGGATTTCAGTAACCTACAGTAGCAAATCTGTCCCAGATGTCAGCTTGCCGAGAGAATCCTTCAGTGCTCCTGTTAGACGATAAATCACTGCATTCCCCCAGAGCCTCAGCTGGTGTACCAAACAAAAAAATGTTTCATAAATCATCCGAACATGAACGTCGCTGTAAGATCATGAGGACCATATAAACACCGACCAGAAGCACAAGCAAGTGCTGACGATCCAGTCTCTCTATTTAAGTTCAAACTTAAATGGGAGGGAAAATCTCAGGAGGTGGTCAACTTAAAGACCCCATTCCTTGGGGGGTAGCCGCATGATCCCAGTTTATCTTCCAGTGATCAGGAGGTCCTTCTCCCTGACCCAAGAATGACATCTGGAAATCTTATTATCCCTGTGGTTCTCCTACCTTGGGTATGAAGGAAACCACAGTCTACTGAGCAAAGCAACATATTCCAGGCTCTTTACACAAAGTAACTTGTTTAACATCAAGATAACTCTGCCAAGAGACTGTGTTTGTCCTCATTTTTTAAATGGGAAAACTAAAGAGAGGTTAGGGGAAGTGCTTTGGGGGTCCCCAGGCCGCTAATGGTGGTGTGAGGTAAGATTAGGTCCTGATGCAGAATGGCTTTGTCACTCTGATGTCTTCCAATGTGGATAACAAGACTTTGGAGTTCATTACTGATGTGACCTCTGGCAAACCTCCTTCTGCCCTTTGTTTTGCAGAGAGGGAGGGAGGGGGAGCTGTGCATACATTAGGATATCATGAGCAACTGAACATGAGGATATGACACACGCTACCCTTGGAACATGGAAAGTACAATATCTACCCACCATCAGTGGGATAGGCAGTTTTCCACTGTTTTTACTACAATAGCTCTTTTTTATTTCATATTCCTTGGGACCAAAGACACACATTTTCAAGCCAGTTGGCCTCCTCTTACACCCAGCATAGAACTCATGAAAAAGGAATTGCAGATGCCTGAACAGTGGACAATTTCCACATTGCCCTCCCTTCCTCGAGTTCCAATCAGCCCTCTTGCCCACAGAAACAAGATGGATTCACCCCCTTGTTGCTGTCCCGGGAGTAAAGGGCATCTGTTCCCAGCTGTTAAAGCCAGGGCAAAGCAGTATCACTGGATAACTGGTAGATGTGATTTTTTGACTCTTTTGAGTCAGAATCAAGAAACATGAAGGACACTCCTTGAAGTAAGTTTGAGAGCTGAGTGTGCACACATTGTGGCCAGACACTGCTTCCCAAGACCGTGGTAAAGCCAGTGGAGAACAGATTGGCATAATCACATATCTGCCACACACAGAAAAATGATAATCCCTTCCTTGTTTTTATTAACACCAACATAAATCTGAGCTCAGTGGGAAAGGCCAGCAAACCCCATTATGGAGGGCACAAAGGCAATTAAAGGGTGCCAACTCCAGCTAGACTTAAAAAATCTACAGCCTGCGGGCCCCTAGTAACCACACCAATGCCTCTCTTGGAAATGAGTGACAAAATTAGTCTAGATGCTACAGAAAGACTCTGCATTGATGTTTCCTGGCAGGTCTGCCCTGGCCATCCATCTGTGGTGACTGCTGCATTGTGCTGTCTTTTCCGTATCTGGGATGTTGGACAGGGTGGGTGGCTTGAACAACTGCCTAGCTTGCTCGGACATACTACCTTCCCTGCTGTTCAGTCTACTTGGTGTCATATTCCCTCATGATAGTGTATCATCTGCCATCCTTTGGTTGTACCATGCACAAATAATTTTCTAGCCACAAACGGGCATTTCTCAAATATTTCATTTTTCTTCAGGCTATGGCTAAAATGAACTGTCTTGAGTGACCAGTTCTAATGTCTGGGCAACGTTGTTTAGGCAATGCTATCAGGAGCATCCAGACAGAAGAGATCTGCACATGCTAACCCCAAACTCCCAGCCTCTTAGTCCACCGTGCTTAAGCCAACAGGATGATGGTATCTGGGCTCTTTGACTCACAATATGATCATTCATTCCCTATGAAGAAGACAAAACCAATGACTTCCATGCTTCTTGACCTCCAGAACTCTGCTCCACCCTCTTCTTATACCACCTACCCAAACTCCTCACCCATTCAATGTCCCCGAGGTAAATATTACATATTTCTTGAGGCATGTGCCTTCCAATCAGTTTGCAAAGGTAATGCCATCTCTGTATTTTTAGCTGCTCCCATATTTTCCTCTTTTGCAGCAAACAACACTCATGCCCACTTGTCTTTTCCCTGGCAATAATAACACTGTCAAAATCACTCAATAATCCACTGGAACGGGTCTGCCAAAGACTAAGGGAACAAATAATCCTGGGAGCAAAGTAAAACACTTCTTAATGTAAAGTGGGCCACTGTATAGAAGTAAAATTGAATGTGATACCTCCTATCAATCAGAAAGCTTTTTCTAAGGCCAACCTCCAACTCTCTCCAAAGTTGGCAACAATAACATGCTTTCTTGTTTCACCTTTCCTAAATCATTCAGGTGATTCTGCTCAGCGGGACATTAATGATTTTTGTTACTTTACTGTGAGTTCTGGCTTCTCATCAAGCTCTACCTTTGAAGACAAGATAAGCCTACACGGTCACCAGATGATTTGAGAGAACAAAATGTGTTGTGGGCAGGGCTGGATCAGGGACTGAGTTGGAAGGTGTTAAAACATAGCACCAAGTTGAGCTTGACTATTTGTGCATTTGGGCATACGCATGTATGTATGAGTTTGTTTGCAGGAAGAATGAGTATTGATGTAAGAACAAAATGCATATGCCCTTGCAATGTAAGAATACTGGCAAGCTGAAAGTCCAAGAGGAAAGGAGGCATGAGCTATTGAGAGAATAATAAACAGGTATGTCAAGATGTAGGAGTGGCCAAAGGATAACCATCACGTGTATGTCTGGGCATGGGTGCATATGTGTGTTCTCTGGAGTGACAGGGTTAATGGACAATGACAAAGACATGTGAGCAAGGTGTTAGCTCTGCTGCTGAGTCCTGCAGCTGGAAAAGCCACCTTACCCTGTAGTAATCAGTGCTGTAGACATCTCTGGACATGCCGAAGTCCCCGATCTTCACCAGCAGATTGGCTCCAACCAGGCAGTTCCTGGTGGCCAGGTCCCGGTGTACGAAGTGCTGGGAGGCCAGGTACACCATGCCTGAGGCGATCTGACTGGCGATGTGGAGCATTTGGGAGAGCCCCAGCTCACCTTTCGCCTGGCGTGGCTGCCCATCCACAAGGATCATAGCATCTGGCCCATGGGCCCTGTGAAGGGTGGGAGAGAAGACAAGGGACAGGGGGAATTCAGGAGATCAAGGGGAACAGCATTCTTGATTCCCTGCTCCCTGGAATACATCACAGAAATGCATAAAATCTCTCTTAGCCAACTTATTGCCGATTTCTATCTATCCAACATTACATTATGTGAGGGTGCCTATGGGCACAACACCACAACCAGATTCCCAACTAAAATGATGCAGATATAGTCTAATGCAGCAGGAAACAAACCCACTCTTTTAAATATCTTAAGGCTCTGAAGCAGTTTCCCCAGCTCTAGATATCCACTATAGAATCGTTAATAAAACAATTAACTCTTCCGGAGTCCCTACTGTTCCAAGCCCTGCTCTAAAGATCTCCAATCTATTTTTTTTAAGATTTTATTTATTTATTTGACAGACAGAGATCACAAGTAGGTAGAGAGGCAGGCAGAGAGAGAGGAAGAGAAGCAGGCTCCCCGCTGAGCAGAGAGCCCCATGTAGGGCTCAAACCCAGGACCCTGGGATCATGACCTGAGTCCAAGGCAGAGGCTTTAACCCACTGAGCCACCCAAGTGCCCCCAAGATCTCCAATCTATTAATTCACTTAATTCTCCCACTCCAATTTTGAGTTAAAGAAACAGAGGCATAAAATGATCAGATCACCTGGCCAAAGTCACAGGAGTGCTGCAATGGCCCAATGGGTAATCCGGAGGCCAATTGAAACCAGGCCTGTGGCTCTAGAAAGCATTAAAAATCTAAGGAGCATCAGCAACTGGGCTGAACAGATTCCTTGGCCCCGCCCCCTGATTCTGATTGGCTGCGTGAGCTCGATCATTTGCATTTCTGACAAACTCCCGGTGCTGATGCTGGCACCGGTGGGGGCGCGGGGTTGGGGGCAGTCCGCACTGTAGGTAGCAGGAGCCTTGAGTTCACATTCCTACCCTGCCCACCACACTGCTTAGTACTGGATAACTTGTTAGTAGCAGGGCCCGATGGAGAGACCCTTCGGATCTGGGAAGCCAAGGCCTTGCGAAGCCCCAGTTTCACCTCCATCCCAAATCAAGGCCCCGGATTTGTTATCCTAACACTTTGCCTTGTCATATCGGTCACTTTTAGTATTCACTCTTTTCTCCAGAAAGCCCAATGAGCCGTAACCGCACCCAGAGCCCTTATTTATGAAGTCGTGGACCAAGGAGCCCTGGTGTACAGCGAGGCCTCGGCCTGTTTTACTGCTTCTCCAATTTCCACTGAAAGGAGTTGTTAAATATGAACACATTCATTTTATTGTCTCCTCTGGGTTCTGCCTACTTCATCCTCCAAAGGAGAACTACCGCGTCCGCCCGCAAGGAAGGAGCATCAGCAGGAAAGCCCCGGCTCGGGTCGACCAGGAGAGGACGCTACCACCTGCCCCTAAAAGCCACCAACGAGCTTCTCTACTCTCCTCCTCCATCTTCCCTTATATTGAGCATGACAGTGGCACCCAGAGCTCTCTGCAGGCCTGTCTGTGGCACTTGGGGCTAAAGGCATTGCTGATCTATGGTGTGGGGTTCCTGGGAAATGGAGCACATCCCTCGGACCGTCCCAGGGGGAAGCAAACACAGCACAAGGATCTTGAATACTGAGAAAGGGCATTGCCGGTATTAGTAACTGTCCTGGTTCACAGTCCTGATAAAATACTAATTGTAATAATTTAATAGTAGCTATCATCAACTGAATACCCAGCTACATGGAAAAGTCATTTAGGTATTAGACAAATATAATCACTTAGTACTCATAGTAGGAAACCTGTGGAGCGGTTATTATTAGTCTTGTTTTCTAGAGAAGAGAATTACGGTTTAATAACTTGCTCCAGGTTACATCACTGAGACGTGACAAATTCAGGACGTGAACCCAAGTCTGTCTGATGACAAGGACTGAATTCTCCAAGAAAGGAATAAATTTCATTGTGAAAACCCAAGTTCAGTGGGTTCAAAACATCCTACGGATATTTTCCATTCCTCAGGGGCCATTTTTGGAAACCCAGCTCATAAGAAGAGTTCATTATCTGCCATCAGCCCTTTCTAGGCCCCCTCAAAATCATGGCATGTGAGTCAATGTCTCACTTAAAGGAGATGCTCCCCAAGTTTTGGCCAATGGGCTAGCATGTACCATTGCCTCCACGGGAGCTCTGAAGATGTCATTATCAGTGATGGGATGCATGGATATCAAAGGAACCCTAAGTGTCAAGGTCCTGATTGATCCATCTGCTTTCCAGGACCTGAACTCCACACACCTCACACACAGCCACCCCCTCCACATCTGGGCACTGCTTGGAAGTGGCAGATGCAGGAGACAGAAAGTGTGAACTCTGCTCTAGTGGTGAGAAGCTATCTTCCCTGGGGAAGGCTGTCTGCCCCCCTGCCCTGCCACTCCATCCAGAACCTTCTGGCTGAGGTTTCAGTCTCTTACTAGCTCCATCAAAGCATCTTGAAACCTAGGCTGACCTTGAGCCAGGTTTGGGGAAACCCCCTTACAACATATCTAATCTTTCTAGAACAGTGCTATCCAATTGAACTTTTTATTGATGGAAATATTCTATGCCACACTGCCCAATACTGTAGCCAATAACCCCAGGGGACTGCTGAGTACTTGAAATGCGGCTAGTGTGACCAAGGAACTGAATTTTTAAATTTGATTTAAGTCATGTAAATTTAAATTCAAATATCCATAGGTAGCTACAGCAGTGGACAGCATGGTTATAAATTTATCCGAAGAAAATCTGCTCTTCTTTCTCAACCATCTCTGTCTTCTGACGAACTTGCAAACGTGTACTTCCTTAATCATCCTAAGAAAAGTCTCCAGCACAAAGGTTTCCAGCAGACCTTAGCTCCATTTTGCAACACTTAGAAACATAAGGCACCAAGAGAGACCACCATTCAGATCGCCAAGAGAAAAGGGGGCTCTAGAGTCTCGGAGTTGAGTTACAGGGTGCCAGGCCCTCTGGGCTCCTTCCTTAGACTCTTCCAGACCCTGCTCTTATGGTCTGTCCACCTTGTGGTCAGGAAGAAAATACTCCCTTGTCATAGCATCCTTAGTATTTATTTCCCCCTAGAAATCAGTGACAAAGGCCAGCAGAAGCTCGCTGCTCAGGAACTGATAGGAAAGATGGAAAGGTTGCTTCTCATTTCTAATCCCTAGACTTAGTGTTCAGAGGGCCCATGTGACTTCTGGCTCCAGGGAAACTGTAGGGGTTCAGGGGGGACTGGCTGTGGGGTTAGGGGTGGGGGCAGTAGTCCTTGCTTACCTAAGGAACTTGTTCAGGTCTCCATGCTTCATGTACTCAAAGACCATGATGAGCGGGTCCCCATCACCACACACCCCGTAGAACTTGACGATGTGTTCGTGCTGCAGGTTGGTGAGCAACTCAGCCTCCCTCTGGAAATCCTTCCGGGCAGCCAGGGTGGGATCCTTCAGGGCCTGGAAACAATGCAGGACACGGGTTTTAGCAACCCGAAGGCAAGGGTCTGTCTGCTCCTCTCCTGGGAAGAAACTTGCCCATGATAAAGACTGTTGGTTCCCAACCAGTCAGATTGCGATCAGGGTTTAAAGGCCATGAGGTGACGTCACAACAGCCAGGCCCGATTCCTTCCTTCTTCAGTCGTTCATCTTTGCAGAAACAGAAGCCGACTTCCTGACCACACCTCCCATCCACTGGTCAGTGATCTCCGTGCATGGTCATCTCAGAGCCCTTTGCTCCCGGAGAGTTTGCGTGCATGGTGGAGGGAGCAGGAGGCTGTGCATGTGGAAGGCCTGACCAAGGCCCCTTCCCCTAAGCTCTTCTTGAAGAAATGGTCCCGCAGCTAAAACTAACAGTAGAAAAACCGCCATCCCATTGGTTTAACTTTGTAAATTAGCTTATGCCCAGAGCCTACTAGAAACCAGGCATAATACAGCCTCCTTGTCTTTTCTATTCCCTGATTTTGGATTGTGAAGGAGGGTATGTTTGCAGAGAAACATCAACATGCTGGCTTCTAGAAGGCATCTGTGTCCTCCTAGTGGGAAACTGAAGGAGGCGCTGGGATTGGGGGGGGCGGGGGTGGTGACTGCCGCTGTGGGAATGGCAGTGAACCAGCAGCAGCTTCAGGATCTGCCCAGAACCAGGACAGGGTCAAGTCTTTCGAAGTCCCAGGGCAGGATGGGCAGGTGGGCATCTCGCGGTCACTAAAACGCCACAGCATAGCCCCTGTGGGGTGGGAGAGCCCAGGGGGCATGGAAGACCTCAGACTGGGCTCCAGGAAGACAAATAGAAGAGCACAAGTCAGGAGGGGTGTCAGGTGTGAGTGCGGGTGCTCGTGCACCAGAAGGGGACAGTGAGACCGAAGTAGAAGGTTCAGAGCCTCTCTGAGCCACAGTGATGCAGCTGGGCCGGCCACAAGGAGGATGAGCAGTAAAGGCGGTGGGGGGAGGCTCTCTTCCTGCAGGAGGAGTCTGGACAGGGGTGCACACACATTTCAGGCTTCCCTCCCTTCCCTGCGAGCTCAGAAGGCAAACGGGGCCGAACAGCCACTTGCTCCCACCAACAGAGTTTTGTCCCCTCACCAGACACAACACCAGGCCATGAGGGAGGGAGTGTGAAGTTTGCACGCTATTTTCAGATTCGTGAACATCTAGACAGGCATGGGATTGGTTTGCATCCTTTCTGCCAAACATCTGGTCTTTTTGGTGTTTGAGGCAGACCGACGTTCCCTGTAGATCATGTTACTTCTGAAAGGCCAAGGCCCGCCAGGGGTCTTTCGGTCACCTTGGCCACGCCCATTAACCAGAATCCACAGGGCTGCCTTGCCTGCGGGGTTGTGCATTGGCAAAAATCCTATCCGGTAAGGCCCATCAGATCTCCATCAGTCACCAGCACACATTACAGATGATGCCCTTTGAGCACGAAAAGGACCTTAAATATCACCAGCTTCTTTCCACCTGCTCACTTCCAGAGCTGGAGAAACTGAGGCCCAGCCCCCATCTGGGAGGCAGCACGCATTCGCACATCTCAAATGACAGAAGCGTACCATTAAACCAGACCTCAGCCATCTCTGGGACCCCCGGGGTCCATGCCAATGCCTCTAGAGCCATGGTCTCTTAGCCAGAAATCAAATCCACTCCGCCTTCGACTAGCACCACTTGTCACTCTTCTCAAACTCTGCAGCTTTCACCGAAAATGTGTTTGATGGAATGTTTCTACTGTTGAAAGAAATGTTGGGATTTATCTAATGCAGCTTTCCCACCTCACAGGTGAGGAAGCCGAGGTCCAGAATGGGGGACTGACTTGCCAAAGACCATGCAAGGAGCTTGGATCTGGAGCCTGGGGACACTTTCCCGGCCAGCATACCAGCTTGAATTAATTTACCAGATGAATCGGCCACTAGGCTTGTCCCCATAGGGAATGGGGGTCACAGATGTGAAAGGGCAGAAGACAGGGCCACCAGGCAGGACACACTGCTGCTGGCAGAGGGGCCGGGCCCAATGAGGATGCTGAGTAGGTAGGGCTGACTAAGACCAGAAAGGCGGTGGGCAGTCCAGCCCGTGGCTGACTTTGCGGCTCTGATCTCATGGGTTCCGCACGTCGGCTCTGGCTGCCTTCTCAGGGAAGCTGCTAAGAAAGGAGCACGCCACTGTGGGTCCACGTCCAGCCAGAGCAATGATATTTGCCAAAGCTTCTTGCTATGCGTGGAAGAAGGCAGAGTCATGGTGAGAGGGGTCCTCTCCGTGACCCAACTCCTGAGCCATGTGGCCTGGGCCGTGGGTAGAAAATGACTGCCTGTGATTTACTTTTCCATGAAGAATAAGGGGGGATGGGGAAGAGGAACCCAGCATGGGTGGGATGGAACACTACTAAGATTTATGGGAATGCTGGATTTATGGGAGGGAAAAGTAGATCAAATTTGGGGCCAGCCAAATGGCCTCTCTCCATCTCTGTAAATCATTCTCTCTCGCACCGTCTGGACGCCGATGGCAGTCATGGGATTTTTGTTCTCAGCTCTCGGGCAGTGCCAGGCAGTGTCCCCAAGCCTGGCACTCCACACTGCCAGGCAGATAGGGGTTTCTCATTTGGGAGACGGGGCACAAAGCAACAGCTGTCCCCCAGTCTCTCCACAGCCCTTGTCCACTGCCAGTTCTCTCTCTGCCTTCACCCTGGGTTTTCCAGCTCCCGGGTCCAACTTGAGGTTTCCATGTAATTGGCAAAGGTTCAGTGCGGCATCAGGGGGCCAGAGCTGCAGGTGGCCCCAATTCCCAGGGACTGATGCAACTGGGACAGAGATGACAGGAGGAGACTAATGAGGAGGAAAATCAGCTCAGTGGCTCTCTGGCCCTTCTCCGTGGCGTCCACACTCAACCCCTTCTTCGGGGCTGGGAAACTTCAAAGTGGATCGCCAGTCGGGGGCACCAGGAGCACACCACGGGCAGAACCGGGGCTCAACACGGCTGCCAACTGTCATTGTAGGGAGCCAGGTCTTGCCAGAGGGTCTCTGAAACCAAGGAGGCTCCCCTCGGTCCTCTGAGCAGTATCCATAGATCAGAGGTCTGGAATTTATCCTGTGCCTCATCTCCTTTCTTTTCCCCCAGAGTTTGAGGACAATTGTGCTTTGATCTTCCCCTCCATGTGGATTATATCTCATGCCCACCCCAGCCCTGGTTTTCCATGGGTCCATTTGGTTAGATAGAAGGGAAGCAGTCCAGATGACAAGAACATTTGAATTTCTTGGGGCACCTGGGTGGCTCAGCACTGACTCCTGATTTCAGCTCAGGTCATGATCTCAGGGTCGTGAGATCAAGCCCCTCAATGGACTTCACCCTGAGCATGAGCCTGCATAAGGTTCTCTCTCTCCCTCCCCCTCTGCCCCACCCCTGCTTCCTCTCTCTCTCTCTCTCTCTCTCTCAAAGAAAAAAACAAAACAAAACAAAAAAAAAACAGTTTCAAAGTGTTTGGTTTCAGATTTCATTAGTATACTGAAACTCATTTAATACGTGCAGAGAGACACACATTCCTAAATGTTCAAACTTTTATATATTCAAACACACACACACACACACACACACACACACACACACGTCAACCTACACTTTTTAAGTATAAAAATCATCTCTCTCCTTTTCTCTCAAAACCCACTGTCACTTCTCTTTGTTGACACTCCCAAATGATCTTATGAGAGAGGAAGCTGGATAAGTTATCACAAGCACAGGTGCCCTTCTCTCATCTGGCTTCCTGGCATGCAACTGGCCATTGGTTTCTCATTGTTTTTAGGATAAAGTCCAAACCCCTTAACACAGTCATGGGCTCTAAATGTCAGGTCTCCCCATCTCTCTCCACCTTCTTTCTTCCATGCCCTTCCTCTCCCTCACTCACTACACTTTGGTCTCATTGGTCTTTCTGTCCTTGGTACCCACCAAACTTTTACCTGCCTCAGGCCCTTTGCACATGGGTTCTTTTGGCCAGAAAAAACCTCTCCACTAAGTTATATCCACATGACTAGCCAAATTAATTGGTACTGTCTGTTACCTCTCAGGAACACCCTGACTGAAACTCATTATGCCTTGAATATTCACTGCTAGTTGGATAACCAGACAGATATCTTTGTCCCAGAGGGGAGCTTGCCAAGGGTCAGCTGTGATTGTTTCCCAAAATCATTTATGATCCATCTGTTAATGTCATTGCTTAATGTAATGAAACATCACAGAAACCAATGAAATATGAGTACAAAGAGTTGGCTGGTTTTCTTTCTTTCTTTCTTTCTTTTTTTTTTTTTAAAGATCTGAGTAATTTGGGGGACGGTCTTGGTAGCTCACTCAGTTAAGAGTCTGATTCTTGATTTCAGCTCAGGTCATGATCTTGGGGTCATAAAGTCAAGCCCTAACTTGGACTCTGTGCTCAGTGAGGAGTTTGCTTAAGATTCTCTCTGTCCCTCTCCCTCTGCCCCTCCCCCATCATCTGTACTCACTTGCATTTTCTCCCTCAAAAAAAAAAAAACATTTTTAAGATTTTTTTTTTTTAATGTGACAGAGGGAGCAAGAGAGCACAAGCAGAGGGAGCAGCAGAGGGAGAGGGAGAAGCAGACTCCCTACTGAGAAGGGAGCCCCACACGGGACTTGATTTCAGAAACCTGAGATCATGACCTAAGCCAAAGGCAGACGCTTAATGACTGAGCCACCCAGGTACCCCAAGTTGCCTATTTTTATGGAACTTAAGGTGAAGCCTTTATTTTTTATTTTTTTTTTTTAAGATTTTATTTATTTGACAGAGAGAGACACAGTGAGAGAGGGAACACAAGCAGGGGGAGTGGGAGAGGGTGAAGCAGGCTTCCCGCCGAGCAGGGAGCCCAATGCAGATAAAGACTCTGGAAAAACCTGCTAAAGGTCAGTGGTTAAAAAGTGTTAAGAGAAAAACCCATTTTTTAAGAAATTGGGAAAATACTAAAAATCTGAGATTCTGCACTCTGATTGTCCCACAAATATTTTCAGTGTGTGTTCCAAGGTAAACTAACTGAAACTAGAAATCATGAACACCCAAAACAAAAACAAAACAACTCTCCAAATGAAAAGGAACTCCAGAGTTGCAGTCCAGAAATACTGGAAGAAAGAGAAGGTTAGATCCAAATGTTTAAAATTATCAACAACCACAACATGAATAAAGTTAATTCTATAGGAACAGGCTGATAGAGATGTTAAAATAAGTAAAATTGTTCAAAGACAGTAAAGAAATAATTACTAAAAACAAAGCAAAACAAAAACCAAAAAACCAACAAGATGATATGCAGCCAAAACAGGGAGAAATAAAATTAAGATAACCAAAAAACCATGGACTAATTAGATAGCTTGGAAGTAGATTATACGGTTCATGGAAGTTAAAACAAAAGCCTCCACAGACAGGACAAACCCTACACTAGATAAAACCACAAGAAGAATTCATGACTCAAAGCGATGCTAACATTTACCCAGATCACAGCCTGGTGAGACAGAGGGAACCGGGAAAGGCAGTGACGAGGGGCTCCTCCCCTCCTCTGTGAAGGAGAGGGGCTGCCTGGGTCTTAGGTGCTCCCACCACTGATTCACTGCAGGACCTTGGGCAAATTCCCTGACCTTTCTTTCTGTGCCTCAGTGTCCGCTTCTGTAAAATGGGGATAGTGATGGTGCCTGACACTTAGGGTGGCTTGAGAGGGCAAAATATTAACCCACACACATTACTGACAGTGGGGCCATAATTGGTGCTTCCCATTAGATGCTGTTGTTATCATCCTGAACACCACCCTCCTCCTCCTCACCTATCCCTTCTGGGCTCTCATGTTCTAGGATCCTGAGATGGGAGTTACATGGTCCTATGTGTCCCCTTGCCTCCTCCACCCCCAGTGCCTCACTTGGTGCCAGGCACATCGTAAGTGCTCAATAAATATTTATGGGATGTGTAAATTAAGCATATTTTTAAGAACATGATCAATCGTTGAAAGAAAAATCTTTTACAGCACACTGAACTATTACAAACTAACATTAGTATATCCTCAGTGTAAGGAGACAATAAAACACTGTCAACCTCCCATGCCCCACTCTTCCAATATTCTCTCTCTCCTCCCAAAGGTAACCACTACATTGACTTATAGAGGTCACGGGCTTGCTTTTGGAAAACAGTTTTTACTACCTAAGTATAAATCCCTAACCACTAGAGTTCAGTTTTACCTGTTTTTTAAACCTGAAATAAGTGGGATCATATATATAACCTTATATAATTATAATTATATATTAATTAATATATTAATATTTATAATATAATTATAGTCAATATAATTATATTATATATTATAATATATTATATATAACATCATATATATGATGGTGATTAGAGATATATATGTATATATTTATTTCTAGATCTGTCCTTTTTCATTCACCATGCTGTTTTTGAGATTGTTTATTATTACATATAGCTACAGATCACTCATTTTCTTAGTTGAATAGTTTCTTATTGTATGAGCATACCACCTTTATTTATCCATGCGGCTACCGATGGACCTTTGGGGCTGTTTCCAGTTTTTGGCTGTTGTAAATAATGCTTTCTGAACATTATTAGACATATCTCTAGATAGCTAGCTAGCTAGGTAATAGAAAGGAAGGAAGGAAGGATGGGAGGGAGGGAAGGAGGGAGAAAAATAGAAGGAAATAAAGGTGGGTGGGTGGGTAGGTGGATGGTTGGATGGATGGATGGATGGATAGATGATAAAAAGAAAGACAAATACCTAGTAGATATAGGTCTAGAAGTAGAAGTGCTAGGCCACACAGTTTGATGTTCTAGAAAACCGAACTGGTTTTCAGAATGCCTATACCACTTCACCTTCCCACCGGCACAGGAGGGACATGCAGCCGCGCCCTATTTTTGTCAGCACTTGCTATGATCACCACCGTTCAGCCATTTTGCTCGGCATTCACTGGTATCTCATTATGGTTCAATATGCATTTTTCTGATGATGAGTTAACTGGACCCCTCTCTCATTCTTCCAACAGCTATCTGGCTATCAGAGGAGACTCTCTGAGATCTTGTGAACAAGAGTATTCTCTGTCAGATGATTATGTCAAAAGGGCATCAACGATTTAAAAATATGAATCATGTGTCTTTTTTTTTTAGTATTATTTATTTATCTGACAGAAAGAGAGATCACAAGTAGGCAGAGAGGCAGGCAGAGAGAGAGGGGGAAGCAGGCTCCCTGCTGAGCAGAGAGCCTGATGCAGGGCTCGATCCCAGGACCCTGAGATCATGACCTGAGCTGAAGGCAGAGGCTTAACCCACTGAGCCACCCAGGTGCCCCAGAATCATGTGATTTGAATGCCAGGTTTACAGGACCCATATGTCCAAATTATGCTCTTGTCCCGCTCTCCTCCCTCCCTAAGTATTCTCTTGTCCCCCAAGCCAACAGCAAACATCTTTAGAACAGAGGCTCTGAGGTCTGCTCTGTCTCCCCCATTGCAAAAAAATCTTGCCAATCAACTTAAAGCCACAATTTGGGGAAAACCTAACTTTGGGTTATACTTGCATGTGTACTCTGAAAGTCCACAACTACCTGCACCAATATGAGAGCGAACTCAAGAGGAAGGGAGTTGCACAAAGGAGTCAAATCTGAAGAGGACAAGAAAAGCAGAAAACACCATTTCTCAGCCCTTCTCCAGGGAAGATGAGTGTCTTCTCCAGAGGCTGGGTGGATCTCCTGGGCAGCAAATGGTGCAAAATCCCAGGGCACTCACCTCCTCCAGGTTCCCAGACTCAAGGAGAGAAGAAAACCCTCTTAAAAGGATGAAAACAGAAACACATTTTTCTGTGTCATCCAATCTGGGTACTGTCCCTTAATGCCCGACTACTCAGCGAGAAACATTTCCCAAGGTTTGGGGCCATTATTCTATTTCCTGCTCAATGCACAAATATGTCCATTTCATTTACCAGTCCTCCGAGGGATGCTGGAATGCCCAGTGGATTCGTGTCACCCTATAAATTAAAAGTCTGAGGGAAGTGCAGACTCTTTGGGGGACAAAATTAGAAATCTTTCCACTTCCCTGGTCCAAGCCGTTTAAAGACATCCTCACTCACCGGACCATCCCATGGCTATGGAGGCGCGCTGAGCCAGTTTATTCTCAGGCTGATCAGGGACGCAGCTCCAGCCTTCCAAAGCCAGAGGACACCTCATTGACCTCGGAGCAAGGGCCCGATTGCATCTGATAATGACTAGAACCCTTTCAAGCCCGGAACGGAGTGAGCCTCTGCTGCTGGCTCCCCGGCCCCCAGCCGCCTCCCTCCTTCCTGGCAGCCCGCAGACCTCCGGGATGTACCTTCACAGCCACGAGCATCTTGTCCTTGGTCGGGCTGAGGTTGTAGCACTCGGCAAGGAAGACCTTCCCAAAGGCTCCCTCGCCCAGTTCCCGCTTCAGCACGATGTCCCTTCTCTTAATGTGCTGCACGTCTGTAGGAGGGGACAGAAGACGAGAGAGCGGCCCGTCAGTTCCAGGCACCTGTCCTCACCGCAGGGGGGTTGCCGCTTCTGTGCCCACGGCATGGAGAGGCAGACCTGGCCATGGACCCAACTCACTCCTGACAACCGGCCTTGTGTGGGCGTGGCGGGCCGAGTCCGACCCAAAACCAAATCAGTCTCAGCCCTGCCCCAACCCACCCCTAACCGGTCTACATTACAGCGGCCTCGGCTGGAAAACAGAGTCCACAGGGTTCATGCACAGGATTCTGGAACAATCAGCTATGGTTTCTAGACAGCGTGCACCTATAGGGCAGTCTAAGCAGCCACTGGCGCAGGAAAGTCCTGGGCATCATGCGGGTTCTGGCTCGGGAGGTCTGAGAGTCTGCAGGTCTAACAAGCTCTGTGGGGACACCTGAGTGTCCTGGGCCCACGGACTGCCCCTCCAATAGTGTGCTTTGAATCCCGGGCCCTGCCACCTCTTTGTTGGTTTTTTTGAGCTTGGGAAAGTGATTGCATCCCAGAGCCTCAATGTCCTCATCTGTAAAATGGGGTTAACATCCAGCCATGCCTTTCTTGCTAAATTGTTATGACGATTAAATGAGAAAGCCTGCTTGAAGGCTTCGGCCCAGTGCCTGGGACCATCGAAAGACGCACACACACCTGCAGACACACACGGGCTCTCGTTACACAGCAGCAGCTGTATCAGTCCTAGCAAGGTGTCTGCTTTGTGGTGGAGACTGCGAAGTGGGAGCTAAAATTATCTGGGGGAAGCCTCTGCTTGACAAATCCCGCTCTTCTGAAAAACCAATGAGATCGTGAAAGCCAAGACCAGAGAGCACCCTGGAAACACGGTCTAGGCAGAGAAGGGTTGCCACTGCCTCAGCCGGCTTAGCAAGCCTGTTAAAGTCCGTCTGCCGGGAGAAAGCAAGGATGGGACCCCAGGAAAGGAGCCTATAGAGGGCTAGTATGAGCCATGGGCTGGTGATGAAAGGAGCACGCCTGGATGGAGACCGATCACTGACCTTCCCATGACTGCACAACAGGCAGGCGCCCACTGCCCACCTGTAGGGACGTTAGGAAGAGCCGTGACAGCGGGGTGGCGGGGGGGGGGGACCTGCCTCAAAGGACCTTGTCAAAAACTGAGAACTGAAGACGGGGGAGAGGCAAGCCTACCATCCCCGTGAGTGAGGAGACAGGAACAGATGGGTGCAGATTGGTGTTTGGGTTGGCTTGGGAATTTCTTCCAGAATAGACTCCAAATCTTTTTGTTTGTTTGTTTGTTTCTGTCAAAGTTCACTGTCTCCCCACCGTGTTCCAGATGACCTACTGGGGAGGATCTGTGGGAGGAAGCGTTTGCAGACCATTTTTCTCTCCCCCCCAGCAAGACGGACCTGTAGGCTCCCGGAGGCGCGAGCCATGTGAGTACACAGCGGGGCTCTGCCCCAGTCTGCACAACAAGTGAATTAAAAATCTGTTCTCTTCTTTACACCCTGTGTCACTATTTCTTAGCCTCTGAGGAATGGGATTTGTTGGCCTTAAAGGGGAAGGCCAGAGAGTCTCCCGCTGAGAGAAAATGGGAGGTCAGGGCCACTCAGGGGAGGCCATCTGCTCTTTGCTGCCTAATCGTTCCCAGGTGACCAGCGATGATGCACGGGGTCCTATAAGGTGAGCGTCCTGGTGTGGCCGCGGAGCGCAGACGGGCCAAGAAGGCAGCCGTGAGAGGCCAAGTCCACACCTCTGAACATGCCGGGACTGGGGAGGAGTGAGAAGTCGGGGGCACCCGGACCAGACCTGGACCCTCCACACCGTCCGGGCTCCTCACAAAACATCTTAGGACTCCGTTCCCTTGTCTGTAAAATGGCTGTGGGAGGACACGCAAGTTCTACTCACCTGCTACGTGCGCTGGTTACATGACGGTTTGTAATTCCTAGAGTCCTCTAACACGGCGGCGTGTTTTGGTCTTTGCATCGTTATGGATATTATTTTACAAGAAAGGGAAGCAAGCAAGGGCCAAGTCAGAAGTCCGCACCTGGTGGCTGAGTTGGGACTGGAATCCAGAGCATCGGGCCATGCCAGAGTAGCCAAATCACAAGGGGACAAGGCCCCTTTGGTCCCAGACCCACCCCAACACCAGCCTCCCTCAGACTGTAAGAGGGCACTGTCGTTCTCACACTTGAGCTGCGACAGAATCTTCTACGAGGCTCGTTCAAACACACTGCTGGGCCCTTTCTCCCAGAGTTTCCCATTCACTAGGTCCAGGCTGGAGCCTGAGAACTTGCCTTTCTAGCAGGTTCCCACGTGATACTGACCGTGCTGATCTGGGCACCCCACTTCGAGACCCACTGGAACAAGATGGCATTCGCAGGGGAGGGATAAGCCCGCTCTCAACGGACAGTCCCACACCCGCAGATGTTTTATTCATTTCTCGCCACCTGAAGGCCTACAATCCTCGACTGACAAGGGGCCCCTCCCCACACCTAGCCGCCCGGCCAAGGCTGAGTCAAGGTCCCTCTCAGGGACTCAACGGCTCAGCCATGTGACGAATGAAGGTCATGCCTCTCTCGCCTTCTTGTGTCCTAGACACATCCCCACAAAGGCAAAGCAACAGGATATAAATTCCTGGATCCCTTAGTCCACTTCTGGGCTGAGCGACCTCATCAGCCCCCCGAGCTCTTCTCACTCTCAGCTGCCACGAGTGCAGAATGAGGACAGAGGGACGGAGGAATTCCATGGAGAGTGGGTTCTGTTCAGCTGCCTGGGCTGGCCCATGTCTTAGAGCCCACCAGCTCCCCTCCCTCCCTCAGCAGCATGAATCACAAGCCCGGAAAGGTTCAGACAAGTCAAGTGGACGCAGCAAACAGGGAGCCATTTCTCAACCCTCCCTCCGTACCCCAGGACTCGAGAGCCTGGCAGTAGCAGAACCCCAGCCATAGGAGAGGGGTAATGGCTGTGGGCCTTGAATGCATTAGTGGGGGCACAGGTGACCATGTTCCTGGGAACACTGCTGCTCTCCGCAAGCACGAAGCAGAAGCCTCACCCAGATTTGCTAAGGGATCTTTTTCAGAGACTCGGGAACACCCAGGGGCTCAGAATAAAACAGGCCTGGCTCACTCTAGTTGTCTTCGGGGAGAAGTATTTTGAGAGCGATACCTGAGCCTAGTCTCCAAAAGGGGGAGCGAGATCTAGAAAGGGCAGCAGGAGGGATGGAAAATAAATATAGATTCCATTCGAGCATAAATCCTCCCCCGGGAGAGAACACCCCACCAGTCGTGGGGATGAGGAGCTATGCACGGCAAATGGGGAGAGAGGCTGGGTGTGCGCCAAACGTGTAGGCAAGTCACTTCTGTATGGACAGCCCCGTGTACCAACAAGACTGTAGACCCCAAAACATCATCTGAGCAGCAGCTTATCCCTGAACCTAAGCAGGGAGAAGCAGGGTAAAGGGAAGTTCATCGGTGGCCGGTCCTACCCCGTGGCCAACATTCACTTCTGATGATAACCACGAGAGCCAAGGGTGATTGTGCCCCTTTCACAGATGAGAAAAGGGAGGCAGGGCTAACTCTCCAACGTTCACAGAGCATGGCCAAGGAAGCTTCTCTCCTTCACATGGCTCCTGCACTCGAGTTCCTTCCAGTACTCAGGATGGCCTTTCTTCGGTCCTCCCCTAATTTGTGGCCACTAAGACCATTCGGTCCACAGAAAGTCAACCCTTCATCTTCCCCTTCTTCCAGCCTTGTCTGACTTCTCTTACCCCACTCCTCCTGGGACTCTATAGCCCAAGGGAGAAGGAAGGAGCTTCCTTTCCAGAGGCCCCAGAGGAGGAGTCGGGGGAGGGGACCAGGGCGGGAGGAAAGGGCGCTGCTCGGGCCCTGGGAGACGGCTGGAGTGAGCCATTCCCATTTCTGACATCCTCTTGTCTACTTGGGCCTCTTTTTGTGCTTATTTTTAGCTCACACGGCGTAGCTCAGAGCTGCCTCTGGTGAAGCCATCTGACCTGCACGCCAAGAAGTGATGGATTCTCCTAGGAGGAGAGGGCATCAATCTCCTTTTACTGCCTGGCTCGCTGGCCCAGCAGAGTCTGGGTCACAGGGCTCAGACGCCGGGACCCTGGCAGGGGAGGAGGAAGGAGAGGGATGCACAGCCCAGGCCGTGGGAACACCTCCTAATCTCTAGGGAGGAGGGGCAGCTGCAGAAAGCGGGGGGGGGGGGGGGGGGGGGGTGCACCAGGGACCAGGGGAAGCGGTCTCTGGGAGACAACACGGAGCTCCTGGGACTTTCTATCCTGACTCTTCCCCTAGCTCTTCCTTCAACACAGCCCCCTTCTGGGCTCTGCCAGAGGAAATCATCCGCAGAGTTTCTCTTTCCCGCAGGACAACCGGTTCCTCAGACGAAACACAATGAGGAGTTCTGTTTCAGTTACTGCTCCATGAATTTTTCTCTGTACCGAGGACCAAGATAATTATACCATATGTATGGGATGCACTTCTGTGAGGTCTTCCAGGCCTGGAGTGAGCTTGACCTAGGGAAGAATCACTAATTCAAGGAGGTCGCAGCCACCTCCATCCAGAAGACCTCAGAGGCCACGGAGCTCAGTGGGCAGGCTGTGGTCATCCCCTTGCCCTCCCCGTGTTCACCCGAGCTGCCTTGCCCAGCACCTTCTGTGACCTACACCGGTCTGCAGGACAGACAGACGTGGCTGGTGACGTCGGGGACCACTGTCAGCCTCACCTCCGTGTTCTGGGAGAACAGGGCTGTGCCCAGCAGATACCACTCAGTGCTGCTGATCAGGCACGAAGAGGAAGCATAAAACCCATGAAAAATGGGGGAGCTGAGCAGCAGACAACTGGGGAAGAGAGACAGGTCTGTATGGGAGCCCGGATCCTGCTGCTCACAGCCGTATCCGCTGCTGGGCCGTGCACGGCTCCTTATCCGTAGAATGGGTGTGTGAGTGTCTACGCAGCCAAGTTTTAGGAGGACAGAGGCACGCTTTC